CTCGATTGCGGATTGCCCCAATTTATAGTCGAAGAAAAAAATCGTCCGAAGTGCTCTTTTCACATGCTTGAAAAAAGGAAAAAAGGGGTTTATCAAGCAATGGTGAAACGGCAATTATACCATCAGATAGCGCAAGAAATTCTCTACAGGATGTGCTACTGAGAAGCAAGGCAGAATGAGTTTTTAATCAGCAGTGAATGTACAAAAAATAGGTGCACAAAACGCTGAGAACTTTCCGGACAACCTAATAGTTATATAGAACTTTGGCGGCGCCACCAACTAGGAAAAATTTTGGAGGCACATACGACCCCCCTCCCCAGTGGTCAAGTGCGACCCCCCTCCCAGCGGCAAGTACGACCCCCCCCCATGTGTTTCACACAACGATGCTGTACCCTGCTAACAGGAGCCATGGTCATTTGCGGGCGCGACGTCGCACGCGACGCCTCAGCGCGGCAAAATACGATTCTCTTGCCACATGCCCGTATAAGTACACTATGTAATAACGGCAATAACAATGCAATGACGGGTGAAATTCATACCTATATTTGATAAGTGCTCCTTCCCATTAGTGATGAGCACAGAGGAGAGATAACAAAACTAATTCGATCTCCTTCTGAGGGCAGGTGCAAAACGGGATCTGAACCTTTTCTCCGATTAGTCCCATCATAAAAATTCAAAATGAATTTTTCATCAAGAAGAGAACCTTCAGGAACCACTACATTGCATTGCAAGCTTTTAAAACCAGTCACAATAAATTGGCACTATTTCTTCAGCTGTTCACTAGGTCTAGTACGCTATCTGTGGGAAGTTGCCAGAAACCTTATCGTTTGGGCCTCTAGGGGCTGGTTGAGGATCCACTACTCTTTATCGGCAACGCGGTTTTGGCCGAAAACGCGCCTGGCGCCGCACATCATAAGCGCCGGCGCTCAAATATAGCACTTCTGTAAAGCAGTCCTTCTTCCGAAATGATGTGGTCATGTAGCCCCCATCAACTGCTGCGTGCCGCGACACCACCCGGATGTATTTCGGGTGCAAAGTGGGTGGGCGGTGACTGGTCAGAAAAGCCTGGGAGCGATCAGAGAATCTGCATTGTCCACAGACCCCATTTTACTTTGGAATAAAAGCCATCATTCTCAGTATTACTCGCCATCTTTCCGCTGTCTACGGGTCTGGTCCGTGAGCAACTCCTTTCGATTTAACGTCGGGCGGAAAAGTACCCCTTCCATTTTACCAGATTATTCAGATTGGCAGCCTTTCGAAGAGCGCAGGAACATCACTCAGAAACATATTTGCTCGCATTCCTCATCATCTTCTACTGCAAGTCCCCCTTCCCAAAGATTTCCTAATCCTATAATCCCACTTGTGATGCTCACTACTCGCGCGGGTCCTGGTTCAAATCCCGGGTCGACTCTCGAATGCCAACCAAGCCTTCTACCCTGAGGACGGTAAATCGGTACCAGATTTGTCTGGGAGGATAAGACACTCATCGGCTGACCCGCGCTCATTGTATAGGCCACTTAGCCAATGAAGCCACTACGATTCTGAATGGAAGTAGAATGCGTGCCGCATCCCACAAAGGGATTGATCAACGGCGAAGACTCTTATCCTTTCATCATTTGTAGTTCCCATTGTTCATACTGCTTCAGAATATTTCTCTTTGTTAGGTCTATCCCACCACTACTGTGAGTGAGGGGACGCTTTCCTATTTTGGCAGCATTTCTGCCTGGGTTCGTGGCTCTATGGATTAGCACAAAGGAGAACTCCCTAGTTGTGACTGTTCAAATGACGTGGGCTAGGGGTATTAAGTGCTATCAGTGAGTGCTGACGCTGGCGCCTGAAGCAGCGTCTCAGTTTTCACGGTTCTTGTCTGCAGGTCCCTAGAATGCTCTGTAGGTAGAAGGCATCAACCGGCTAGCATTCCGGAAGAAG